TGGTGAACAGGCTCGGACCGTAGCGGAAGTGAAAAAATATTGGAAAGGGGACTGGAAGCTTTTGGGACGGAAGTAATAATTCAGGATTGAGGATGGGAGTGCTGGAGTATGAGCTAATCTTCTCCAAAGAGTTTCCTTTTGTTTCAGACTACATTCTGGTGAATGCGTTCTCAGCTTTTTCTGTGAGAACGAAAGTTGACTTTCTTGATCGCAGTTTAGGTGAGGCACTAAATTAGTCAATATATATTGCAAAATTTAGTAAATAGCGTTTAATTATTTTGTTGTCCTGAAACAGTTTTAATTGAGTGTCGTAAGTGATTTCGCTTAGGAGCTGACTTCGTTTTTATTGAAAAGTGCGGACGCACCATGCAACAACAACGCAGGCCATTGAAGCTGCATCATTGATGTGTCCAATCTCGCACCCTAATTGCAAACACGACGGCGACTTCACGTTTTTCTACTTTTTCATCTTTATGATTTCAGGTGCTTTTCGTTAGGTATATACGGGCGTCATGTTTGATTTTTTTAATGCGGTATCAACTTAAGTGCTATTGCGCAAAAAGTTTCTTGTTATCTCCTATCAACCACGTCGACGACAGNCTGAACAATTTCTCTAGTTACCTTCTAATTCTGAGATAACGGAGCAGCCTTTAGTGCTTAAATTGGCCTTTCTTCCATATTTCACGATGTTTTAGTAGACAATTTATGAATTTCCTGTAAAAAAAAGAGAGAGCCAAATCCTCGCCCCTTGGGGCAGATCATGGGCGCAGGATGAAAGCAGCCGGGCTGCTCGGTCAGCGGTCGTCAGAGGAAATTCAAAATGGTGGACGAAGATTCACACTCGACTGACTTGCGTGTCTCGGGTGAAGAAGGTCATTCAACAATTTTATTGGCTCATTACATCTTTTAGTTTTATTGAGGATAAAGTTATTTAGCAACGCTGGTTACGACGCAAAATTGCTCGAAAATGCTTAGAAATCTTACCTTGTTGTACAATTTGCATATTTTTAGCATCAGACCAAAAGACGTTTTTGTTTTTCGAGCAACTTTTGAGCAAGTTTTTGAGAAGTTACGAACAGTTTTTTGGACAACTTGTAGAAAGCCCTAACTCTTTTACTTTACCGGATAGCTTTTGTTCCGCCATGAAAATCAAACCTGATAGGGTTTCTGTTCACACATAAGAACGGTGATTTTAGCGCGATTTCCGTAACGAAGCGAAGCTGCGCCGCGCTGGTCTCGAAAGTAGAGCGTCACATATTGGGTAGGTTCTGTGTCGCACTTTGGTGAACAGGCTCGGACCGTCGAAGTGAAAAAATAGGAACGGGACTGGAAGCTACTGGGACGAAAGTAAATATTAATATAATTGAATGTCGTAAGTGATTTCGCCCAGGGAATGACCTTGTTTTTTATTGAAAAGTGCGGACACACAATGCAACAACGCAGGCAACTTTGGAAGCTGCATCACTGATGTGTCCAATCTCGCATCCCCGATCGCAAACACGTCGATTGCTTCACTTTTTTCCACTTTTTCATCCATATGATTTCAGGGTGATTTTCGGTAGGTATGTAGGGGCGCCATGTTTGATTTTTTGAAGACGGTATCAACTTAAGTGATATTGCGCAAAAAGTTTCTTGTTATCTCGTATCACGTGACCGCCGTTGTACGCCTTGTTATAGGGATCTTAAACAACCACGTCGAAGACGGCGGCACTGAAAACGTCGCTCATTCAAAAAAAACAGTTGAAACGTTATCCCGGCTATTTAGACCAGCTCTATTGGTCAAATGTGGGCGAATTTTAATCCTGGGGTTGAAATCTCAAGGATTGTATCCAGGCTAAATAAAATGAAAGGAGAATTCGTCGTCTTCTGTTCGCGTCCTCCATAAAACGTTGCGTAAGGAAGTTTCACGTCGTAGTCGTGCAGTGGACGTCAAGGAAATGGACTAGAAATGTGATGTTGTTTTGCTCATTAAGCTCTCTATTCATGCCTGTCGTCACATTAATTTACACCTATTTCCTTTTTTAGGTATTGATGATCACTGGTGTCCGTGCCTAGAATTTTGGAACGAAAACATCACATCTCCGCATGTGATTGGTGGAGCAGAAATGGCTGTCAAATATATCAATGACGTCATCCTGAACCGCACAGACTTGCTTCGCACGTCATGCGCGCGCATCAAACTGAAGAAAATCCTAAAAGCCGAACACTTCAAGCCGAACGAAAAGCTTCAACGATTTAGCTCCACAAACCAGGATTCAGATCGCGCTGTAAATTTTGACTCACCAACTCCAGATAGTGCCCACTATAGAATTAATTTCATGACCAGCCCCGGTAACGCGTTTTTCGAAGCCACAGTAGCCGTTCGTGAAGATAAAAAGGTGATTGTGAATCCCAATATAAGTAGGACAAATGTCTACGGTGATCAGCCTAGATGTATTTTGCGCAAATATCCTTACGCTAGAAAATTTTGCTACTGCAAAGAAATCATGGCGAGAACATGAAGCACTTCGGGTGGAGGGTTTTTGAGGTAGGCCAATTAAGTCATCAACGAGAGTTAGCCAGAATTTGAACTTTATTTCAACTTTCAATGAAATTTATTTAAATAAAGTGCTCGGGCAAGCTGATTTCAGACATACCGTGAGGAAATACATTAAGTACTAAGAGTTACAAGCTATTGAAAGACATAATAACAATATTTAAAATTCATAAGTATGTAAATATATCTATGAATTTTTAACTATTTTATAAAGCCAATTTTTAAACTTTAACTAGGGTCCAAAGAGTCTTTATAATTTTGATAACCCCCTAAAAATAGGTGGATACGTGGATACTCAGTTACTACATATCCGCGTATCCACTTTGTCACTCCGAATCCGCGTATCCACGAAGTAAATATAATTTACAATAGTTACTGCGTATCTGTGTATCGGCGTATCCACTTCGATGTCTATTTGTCATTCGCAAAACCAATGAAGGTAGAAAAGCGTATTAAAGGGATAACTGCGTATCCACGTATCGATATCCAGCTCTTTCAGGGATACAGCTTGGATATGACACACCCTAGTTATGCAATCGATAAAAAATCTTTAATTGGTGACGTTCTGAATTGATTTATAATGATCATTATTGGTATTGGTAATCGGTAAAATCGATGGAGAAATATTTAGCACCGAACCAGTCGATAATTAACCATTTTTCATTTATCCTTCTCAAAGCTCGTTTCCGGTTTCTGCTGGTTGGGTGGCTGGGTGGTCAGCATGCAGCAGCCTCTCAGAGCCCCTACCCCATTATATTCTATTCTACGACCAGTTACTTATAGACCCCATCTTAGTCACTTTTGTACAAATATGTAATTTTGGTGATCCCAACTTAGTCACTCTCTATTTTTATGAAATGGCCCATTTTTTAGATTGAGTGAAGAACACTTTACTTTTCATCTACAGTACAAACATTCTGGTACGTTTGCTCACCATAAATATGAAGAACTGTCTTACGCCAAGAATGTGCGACCCCATTGTAGTAACTATTGAAAATGCGACCCCATTATAGTCAATCCAGTCATGAAAATGCGACCCCATCCAGCGGCGCATCCCCTTTAGCCTCTTATAAGGAAGAACCCCTCCCCCGGGTGGTCAGTCACTCGCGACTTCGTCGGTCCCTTTCGCTCGCGCCTTCGGCGCTCACTCAGTGGACTTGTGGCAAGTCTTCATTTATCCTTATCGATTCAGTTAATTATCGAAGTTATCGATTTTAATTATCAGCGCTAATGAAAGCACCGTTAGTGATTGGTACATTTTGAAACTCACTTATGGTTGGAGGACGATTTCGATAGCTCACCGTTTGTGTACCCTTTGATATACTCCAGCTATTAGTGAAAATCTCTACCCTTTTATGATCAAGAGCCATAATGTTATAATACAGTGGAAGTTCTCGCGAGCGGACACCATCAGGTGTCCGTAACTGGCGCTGGCCGCATACCAGTTGAGAAAACGTGGTTTTGAGAAGACGGCCGTAATGAGAGCTGCCCGCTTCAGCAAGTGTCCGTTAGGGGAGCTTCAACTGTATACTTTAACCTTGAGCGTGAAAAATGTACCCCATTCGGGCGTAGTCTCTTCGTATAGGCCATTATGGGGAGTATCCCCTCCCCCCGGGCTCAGGGATCCCCTCTAGGACTGATTGGCTGCTGTGTTGTCCGATCTTGTAAAACTTACGATCAGGCGTTCGAAAGAGAGTTAAATGCGGAAAAGCTTCACTGTTGCCTATAGATGTAACTTCGCTTTAACTTCTTCAGATACTTTTTCAAAACTAAATGTGTTGTTTTACCCGGATTTTTCCACACGCGAAAGTCGTAACTTCTTGCCCGGAGAATAAAGGCCTTAGAGCATAAAAGGTGATTATAACATACCAAGAGCTGCTGTGAAAAGAAATTCTGAAAATATCAATCCCTAATTGCGGACTTTTGCGATAACAGTGCCACGCTCTACCAACTAAACTAACAAGCCTACTGAGAGCTGGTCATTTAGTTGGTTTTTTTGATGTACAGTGCCGCACTGATGCCGCAGAGTTCAAGGGTCGGCATATCATCCCGTACAAGCCTGAATTTTTCAAGCTTTCTTTTGTGACTACAAAAGTTGCATCTACAACTGCGATGATCTTCTTTACGTTTGATTAGAAAAGATTACATCACCAAACTGGTAAAAACCAAAACGGAAATTTAATCAAGAAAACGTACTTATGCAACTGAATTTCTTGCTACCTTGCTGCCGAGAAAGGGAAGCGACAATAGCCCCGCTAATTTTGTGTCTCAAAATTTTAATTAAGCTTCTTTGAACATAAAAAATTATTATCATCATTCATTTGTCTTCTCTCTAGCTTAAGCTAAACCTTACTGATTCAGAACAGTAAAAATAAAACAATTTTATTCAGTTTTATATTCTTGATCCTGCTTCGTGTCATTTGTTTTTTCCAGTATCATTGACCGAGGGAGATCTACTCCGTTGATGAACCAAAATGATGACGATGAGGCAAACGATCCTGGGGAGGGTGACTTCAGTAACAATAATGACACCTCGGCGAGCGAAGCAGCCGAGCCTCCAATTAAGGTTCACAGAGGACTGGAAGACAATGAGGAAGTAGAGGACACTTTAGACTGGTTACGAGACCATGGTGTCAAACCTCCGCCTGATCTATCTGATATTAAAGAGGAAATAACAGCGACAGATCAAGAAGGAAGTATTTCCCCGCCAACAAGTCAAATGAGAAATATTAATCTCCCAGCAACTGAGAAGATAAGTACTGTTCCGCATGCAATAAGTCAGATACCAAGTACAACTTCCAAACTTTTACTTCGTTCAACGCGGCCAAAGACAATTGATCGGGCTGCAAATCGAGATGAATTGGCAAATAAGCCCCCTGATACATTTTCAATGCCTTTTAACTCCAAACTTGAATTTTCTTCTCCTGTTCCATCAGTGAGTGAGGGGACAACAAGTACCGCTCCGCGTCCAGTAAGTCGGCTACCAAGTATAACATTCGAAATTTTACTTAGGTCAACGTTGCCAGTGACAAGCGACCATGTTACCACTCGAGATACAGAGGCGAATAAGCCCCCTGAAACATCGTTAATGCCATATCACTCCAAGCCAAGTCCATCAGAGAATGAGACAACAAGTAATGTTCCCCACCCAGCAAGTCTGGTACCAAGTACTATCCCTCCGTCAACAACGTCCGAAACTTCACCTCAATCCACCCAACCTCCGGCGACGAAAGGGTTCCCTTATACTTCGCCAACATCACGTCACCCCGACTCTAAGACATTATCTCATCCTTTTGTCAGCGAGCAAATCAAAAGTGTCAAAAATGGCGCAAAATCCACTTCATCGAGCATGACGCTGGCTGAATCGCTGTTTAAAGCACCGGAAATTCATACTAACTTATCGTCTAATGTTTCCACTGACAGAAACAGCGGTCTCACCTCTTCCTCTGCTTTATTGCCAACCACAGGTATACCAACTCCCACGTATACTACTCCTAGTCTAACAAATCTACATACTTGTAAGCTACCAAAGCTCAACCCGTGGGATCCCTCCATAAGGCACTTGTTGGAGGATGTCGGTGACGATCCCGGGTGTAGAAATGGGTTCCCTGCGCCTGCATTTGACGTCGTCGCTAACAGACTGGTACTCACAGGAGAGGTAAACGCAGATGAGGTAGATTTCAAGCAAGTGAATGTGGAGACGATTCATCGAAATGACGAGGATGACAACAATGTACACTTTATGAATCAAGGAAATCCGTTTACCGGTAACCTGTCCTCCGATGACTTCAATATTTCCAACATAATTAACGCATCAGACTTTTTTAAGCTGACATACACGATGAAAACAGGCAAAGAAAATACACACTACTTTGCCCGAGTTGTACCACAACTCGACGCAATGCGTGAAGCAAGACTCGTAAGGGAGGGGATCGAGCGACAAGGAACACCAGAAGGGTTAAAATTGAATGTTGTCATGCTTGGCATTGATTCTGTTTCCGCTGCGAGTTTTCGTCGCAAAATGCCAAAATCATTAGATTTTCTCAAGACATCCCTGAAAACTTTCTTCATTTCTGGACAAACTGTGATTGGTGACGGAACAACACCCGCGTTGACAGCAATGCTCACGGGCCTGTACGAGACGGAAGCTCCAGAAGGCCGTCAAGGGTTCGACAACAGCGCTCCTGTTGATAATTGGCCCTGGTTAATGAAGTTGTACAAGGAGCATGGGTACGTAACGATGATGGCTGAGGATGACCCAATAATGGGCGCTTTTAACCTGAGGCTCAAAGGCTTTAAGGACCCTCCAGCGAATCATTACGTTAGGCCCTTTTGGCTTGCGCTGGAAGAAAACAACGAAAGAGACGAGCCAGGGCTGTGCTCGCGTTCAACATTTATGACAAATTTCACTTTGGACTACGTTCTCAGCTTTTTTACAGCGTACCCCGATAATCTTAAATTTGCATTTGCTTTCATGAGTTACCTGGCACACGCCCACCCGAATCACCTCAGTTTCGCAGATAACGACCTTTTGCGAGTACTTCGCACATTTGTCAAACACAAGTACCACGAAAACACCGTGATTGTTATATTTGGAGATCACGGCTCACGAAATGATGACGTCAGGAACACGATGCAGGGAAAACTGGAGGAGCGGTTACCCTGGCTATCTATATCAGTGCCTGAATGGATTGAAGAAAAATACCCTGATATAACCTCGGCATTAAAGCAAAATGAAGACATTATATCAACTCCATTTGATCTACACGCCACCCTTCATCACGTATTGACCTATCCGAAGGAACCACAAGGAGAGAAGACTCAAAGCTTGTTTACAACATTGAATTACTCAAGGACTTGTGGTGAGGCAGGTGAGCAAAAATTAAAGATAAAATATCCGGCAAAGCACGTTTCGCGCAGAATATAAAATGAAAAAGTCTTAAGTTGGGTTAAGCGTTACATTTAAAATGTAGTTCAGACACCCTACAAAGGCTACCGTATGTTCACCCTTGTACTATACCGAACAGCTTTTGCTCCGCCACGAAAATCATACCGGATAGGGTTTCTGTTCACACATAAGAACGGTGATTTTAGCGCGATTTCTGCGCCGCGTTGATCTCGACAGTAGAGCGTCACATATTGGATAGGTTTTCTGCCGCATTTTGGTGAACAGGCTCGGACCGTAGCGGAAGTGAAAAAATATTGGAAAGGGGACTGGAAGCTTTTGGGACGGAAGTAATAATTCAGGATTGAGGATGGGAGTGCTGGAGTATGAGCTAATCTTCTCCAAAGAGTTTCCTTTTGTTTCAGACTACATTCTGGTGAATGCGTTCTCAGCTTTTTCTGTGAGAACGAAAGTTGACTTTCTTGATCGCAGTTTAGGTGAGGCACTAAATTAGTCAATATATATTGCAAAATTTAGTAAATAGCGTTTAATTATTTTGTTGTCCTGAAACAGTTTTAATTGAGTGTCGTAAGTGATTTCGCTTAGGAGCTGACTTCGTTTTTATTGAAAAGTGCGGACGCACCATGCAACAACAACGCAGGCCATTGAAGCTGCATCATTGATGTGTCCAATCTCGCACCCTAATTGCAAACACGACGGCGACTTCACGTTTTTCTACTTTTTCATCTTTATGATTTCAGGTGCTTTTCGTTAGGTATATACGGGCGTCATGTTTGATTTTTTTAATGCGGTATCAACTTAAGTGCTATTGCGCAAAAAGTTTCTTGTTATCTCCTATCAACCACGTCGACGACAGCGCCACTGAAAACGTTGCGCATTAAAAAAAAATGTTCAAACGTTATCCCGGCTATTTAGACCCGCTCTATTTGTCAAATGTGGGCGAATTTTTGTCCTGGAGTTGAAATCTCAAGCACTGTATATGAAGGGAAAATAGGTCATTTGCATGATGACGTCATTTTACTACTACGACCACAATCCTTCAGGACTTTGCTTTCTTGTGCAAATTAGGGCTTTTTGTTATCGAAACCTCACTGGGATTACCAAATTAAAATATGAAAGGAAAAACGAAAAGTATTCTGGTCGTAGTAGTAAAATGACGTCATCGTGCAAATGGCCTATTCGTAGTCTTTTGTTCACGACGTCGTAGTCGTGCAGTGGACGTCAAGGAAATGTACTAAAAAGTGTGATGTTGTTTTGCTCATAAACCTTCTTTTCTTTCTTTTTTTATTTTTGACGTTGTGGTCGCCGTAGCCATCGTGGTTGCTTAAGCTCTCTATCCACGCTTGTCGTCACTGTAATTCACACTTATTTCCTTTTTTAGGTATTGATGAACATTGGTGTCCCTGCCTAGAATTTCGGAACATAAACATTACATCTCCGCATGTGATTGGTGGAGCGGAAATGGCTGTCAAATATATCAATGACGTCATCCTGAACCGCACGGACTTGCTTCGCACGTCATGCGTGCGCATCAAACTGAAGAAAATCCTAAAAGCTGAACACTTCAAGCCGAACGAAAAGCTTCAACGATTTAGCTCCACAAACCAGGATTCAGATCGCGCCGTAAATTTTGACTCACCAACTGCAGATAGTGCTCACTATAGAATTAATTTCATGACTAGCCCCGGTAACGCGTTTTTCGAAGCCACGGTAGCCGTTCGTGAAGATAAAAAGGTGATTGTGAATCCCAATATAAGTAGGACAAATGTCTACGGTGATCAGCCTAGATGTATTTTGCGCAAATATCCTTACGCTAGAAAATTTTGCTACTGCAAAGAAACCATGGCGAGAACATGAAGCGGCTTCGGGTGGAGGGTTTTTGAGGTAGGCCAATTAAGTCATCAACAAGCGTTAGCCAGAATTTGAACTTTATTTGAACTTTCAATGAAATTTATTGCAATAAAGTGCTCGGGCAAGCTGATTTCAGGCATACCGTGAGGAAATACATTAAGTACTAAGAATTATAAGCTATTGAAAGACATAATAACAATATTTAAAATTCATAAGTATGTAAATATATCTATGAATTTTTAACTATTTTATAAAGCCAATTTTTAAACTTTAACTAGGGTCCAAAGAGTCTTTATAATTTTGATTTTCAGCTATGAAATAACAATGCAGTGCGTTTGCCGCATCATTTTTGAAATGTAGGGGCTAGAAGCTAATTGGGATAGGACATTTACCGGCAAAATCACAACACAGCTAGCCTCAGCCAAAGTTTACACAGGGACATCGGGAGACGTTGCGTCGTACATTGATTTTTCCCGAAAACATTCCGTACCAATTAGCAGCC